TTCGTTGGTATTCAGTTGCTTCAGTTGTGGGCGAGTCTCTGTGACCCCATTTGGGGTTTGCTTCACAGAGATACTGGAGCGGTTTACCATTTCCTTCTCCAGCTCATTTTACAGATGAGGAAACTGAGGCAAACAGGGTGAAGTAACTTGCCCAGGGTCACACAGCTAGCAAGTGTCTTGAGGCCAGATTTGAACTCAGAATGATGAATCTTCCTGTCCCTGGCCCCAGTGTTCTATCTACTGTGCCACCTAGCTACTCTATTACCACTTTACAGCTGAGGAAGCTGAGACAGGTAGATGTTAAGTGACTTGCTTAAGGTCACACAGCTTTTAAGTATCTGAGGCGGGATTTAATCTTGGGTCTCCCTGACTCTCGGCTCAGTGCTCTAACCCCTGCCCTGCCTAGCAGAACTGCAATTGCAAACCCAGGTCCTTTGCTTTTAGATTCAATCTTACATCTTGAAGCCTCCCTACTGGCATGTTAGTTTGGAAAGGATCACCAATACTACTTTGTAGCTACTTAACTTTGTATTTCTTCCATATATACTTAGTGTCCCAAAAGTCTTGGTATAGTTTCTACACATTGATATTTTATTGTTTGTATCTCATCTCCCTGGTTAAATTTTAAGCTTTTTGTAAGTAGTTTCATTCATTGTATTTATATCCCCACTGCTTAGCACTGTGCCTGGCACATAGTAGGAGCTTGATACTGATTTCTTGATACAGTGGAGGTATTGGTTGGTTAAATCCTCTTGAGTAGCAAAAACCATTTAGCCAAGTCCTATAAGAGAAGGAAGTGGGAGTGAAGACCCACGTCAACCAACGTCACCTTTGTAGTATTGAAGTCTTTGTAAATGTACCTTAAATTGCTGCTAAAACACTAGAAAACTAAACAAGGAGCATTCGTTAAGGACCTACTATGTGCATGGCACTATGCAGGGTAGATGCAAAAGCCTGGAGGTCCCAAGGGAGGAAACTAGAGGCACTGCCAAATCTGGGGATGATGAGGTCAAGGAGTCCTTGGGAGACTAATATTACAGTGTCTTATCCACCACCACGGAAAAAGGGGGAGTATCCCTAAGAGTCAGAGTGGAGACAGATTCTGGGCTCCTGACAAGGGTGATGATGAGGGAAGACTAGCGTTCAGCCAGAAGGGAAAGGGGACATTGCATATTTGGAACAATCCAGCACTCATTTACTAACTGTAATTAATGAGTGCAGACATGCCATTCTAATAGGTATACTTTAAATTAGTGGTATCCCTTTTCCCCTTAAAAAAAAAAAGCCAGACCTATCATTTCATTGGTGTGGAAGACTTCTACCAATCCAAGTCAGCACTCTTCTAGTCTTAGAGGTTTCTGGGATCCCGAGAGGTGAAATGACTTGCCAGAGTCACACAGATGGGTTATGTTTGAAATGGGACTTGAACCCAGATTTTTCTGACTCTGAAGCCCACTTGCTATCCATTATGTACACTGCTTCTCCGAAGCATTACAGTACATGTGCGCTGTGAAAGCATATGATCAGCTAATGAGCAAAAAGAGGGGGTTTTTTTGTGCACCCTAGAATAATCCCTCCAGAGTTAGAGGTGATGAATTAATAGGACCACCATGCAGAAGACCGATACTATGCCTTGGAGGCAGCCAATATTTGCTAGGACCTGCACGAAAGATCAAGTCAGCAGCACCACAGCAGACCATGTCAAGGAATCAGCCTCAGCTGAGATACCACTGAAGAGTCCACAATGCAGACTTCTTGTCCAATAGGCAAGGCTGCATTTTCCATTTTGATGCTATCCCACTTGGTTAGAATTCAGTAAATCAATCACTAAGCAATTATGGCATCTGTTGCATGGACAGCACTGTGCTAAGCACATTGTCAAGATCTCTTCCCTGGCGGGGTGATGAGTCCCTATCTCCACAAGGAAATAAAGTTATCAGGTACAGATAAGCGCAGCACTTCACGGTAACATCAACTTTTTTATGTGGAGCCTGGTGAATGAACATAATGAGATGATGTGATGGAAAGAGCTCTGATCTTGGAGTCAGGGTTTGGCCTCCAATTCTTGCTCTGTGCCCTGGGCTAAGCTACTTTACTTCTCTAGCCCCATTTCTTCCTCTGTGAAACAGATAATGCTTCCACTACCCACCTTGCTGAGAAAGTGATGGGCAGTGACTGGCTGAAGACAAATATGGGAATTCCAGTTCTGCCTCAGAAAACAAATTATGCCAGGTGGTGTTTCTTTCTTTCTTTTCTTTTCTTTTTTTTTTTAAAAAAAAAAACACACCGATCTTAAAAGAACTGGTGGATGGTAGCCTAAAACAGGCTAAATAAAAAATTTCAGCAAATTCCTAGCAGAGAACTGAGTGAGGCAGGAGCCAAGATAAGAAGGAACAAAAGGGGCTGCCAGTAAACTTCACTGCATGTTGGCACTCCTAAACCTTTTGAAAGGACACAAACCCCACTGATCCTTAGTTGGGGGCATGCTTTTCCCAGGAGGTATGTTACACTTACCTGTGGCGTGCTATCCACCATAACTTACCATAACGTTCCTTAGGCATTGCTAAGAGCTAAAACCTGCGGATGGCTACTAAATCCGGCCTTTCCTCTCCACCTGAGGAATATTCTATTCAATAACAGTTTATTGTCAATTCCACTGGAGGGACAGTGGTAGGTACTGAGGATACATAGACAAAAGAAAAAGCAGCTTACTTCATCCAGAGACTGAATTCTCCAGCAAATATATTTTTAAATGCAAAAACCTTTTTTATAGCAAGTTTATTATAAGATATTCTCTTCTTGTGAGGGACAGCATGACATAGCAGACAGCCCACCTCTGAGGGAGGGCAGACCTGTTTAAATTCTCTTTGCATATACTAGCTGAATGACTCTGGGCAAGTCACATAACCTGAGTGGCCCAAGCAAGACTTTAAGTTGCAGAGCTGGTAGGTATCGAGCCATGTCAGCAGAGGGAATTTCCTCCCTGAGAAATCTCAGTTGTAGATAACGTGAATTCTTTACTCCTTTTCCTGTGTAACTTCACTACCTGGGGATATTGGTCAGTTTGAGTTAAACATAGGAAATGTGTGTCACAGGAAGGGGAAATGAATCTCTTCTCTCTGTCAAGTGCCCTAATTTCATATCAGGAATATGAAAGATAAAACTGTAAAGAGCTAAAGAGAATGAGTTTTTTAAATTAAAACTTGGGACCGGCTGACACACTTTATCTTTGGACTAGTCTACAAGAATATTTTAGCAACGTTGATCAAGATGCAGCCCTAATGCCAAATACTTTATTCTATTTTCCCTAAATATTATTTTTGAAAGTTCCTAAGAATTTCATTCAATGAGGTTTTGAAAGGAAACTGTACATGACAGGTGAAACCAGAGGTTAAAAGGTTTCTTGGCACGTCTTTTATCATTTCTTCATCACTGCAAGCCAAAGCCTATTCAAATGAGACCTCCCAGTCCCCTGGTGGGGGAACTTAAATTTCCTCCTTATCTAGGAGAAGTAAAAAAATAAAACCCCAAACCTGTCAGGGCACATGGCCGGCAGTGAGCAGCCTACTTGGTCAAGACGAAATTCTGAGAGGTGTGGACTGTGAGGCGAGTGACAGACCCTGTAACGCCCGTGGTGACTTCACAGAGCTGCGCTATGGTGAGTGCCAGTAGGTGGCGCAGCAGCAACCTTTGTGAGTGCGACCCTCCCGTAACCGGCAGAATACGTTTCAGTGACAGTGCACAGAATGCTGGCACCCAGGCTGTACACACATTCCAAAGTCTTCCCAGAAAAGGTCAAACAGTCTGTTTGTCCAAGAACAGGACTGGTTGGCTGTTCACTGGAGAGAAAGTGTCCCAAACAACTGGTGTGTGGGCTGGCCCACTCTGAACAGAAATGTTACTGGGACTTGCTGTTCAGCTACTTGGGAATCAAACAGAATTAAGGGCAGTTATCTGAAAAATAGTTTACATTAAATTTTTACTGTCCATTTCTTCCATAGACATAAACTGACCCACAGAAGACCGACTACAGTGCCATTTGGGAAGTTAACATGTATGGGGGGAAAACTGTTTTGTCTTAAATTAAGCCAAGCTCTCCTGAGGCAACCTTAAGTACTTCATTAAAAACAAGTGGATATGCTGAAAATCGGGAATAGTATTAAAGTCGAATACAGAGAGAGGTCAGTAACAGACAAGTATCCACTCCCCACTTGCCTTTTCCACGGGCCCATAAATGCTTTCTTTCCCAATCTAGCCCAGTTTTAGGCCTGGAGCTGGTGCTAGTAATGTCCACTGCTAAGTCATATGGACATGTGAAAAGAAATGAGAGGACACATCACGGATGCTGGCGAGAAGCAGCCAGCTCACCCGGCCCCCCCATGAAGCCTGAGCCTTAAGCCCATCTTCTAATCTTTCCAGGTGAAATGGAGACCATTCAAAAATTTAAGAGCTGACTGAATTGAACCAGTCCTTCCCCCCAGTCCTTTCCACTCTGCATTCATTCAGTACTGACTCTGTGCGATGGGCTGTGAATGTGCACACATGTGAGGAGACAAAGATAAGCCAAGGTTCCCGGACATGAAAGCCCCCTCAGATTTGCTGTCCTTTCACACACTCTCCAGGTATCTTATTTCTAAACCTGAATTGCTGCAATGGCCTCTCACCTGACACCTTCAAATTAAGGCCCAACATGAATCTTTTAAACTTTGAAAAGGATTTTATGGCACAACAGAATCCTGTTACGGTACAGCTTATTGCTACAAAGCACGGATGCCATCCAAAGCTAATAAATAGCGCTGCCCAAAACAATGCTCAGTCCGTAATTCAGGGGTCAGCCACACCTCCCCATTCCACCACTAGAATGGCGTTGTACTGCAGCTTTAAGGCTCAGACTCGGAACTTTAACCAGGTTAATTGAGGCTCAGAGTTTCCATTTTACAGTTTCTTTTCTCAAAGAAGTGTATTTGAATGTGAAGAGACAAATCCAAATGGAGACACGGTGATTTCCAGAGCAATTTATTCATTAAAATCTACTCAATATGCCATCAACAGTTTTCTTGTGTGTATTGTGCTGATAAATTGACACTGAGAGGATTTAACAAGTTCTTCATTTAATAAGTCTGAATTCGTTTTCACCACATGGTATAGTACACTGTCATCTGTTCAAACAGATTTCTTTAACAGATCTTAGTTTAAAAAAGTCATAGATACTGTGAGTTTTGTATAAACTGGTGAACATTAAGTTAATTCCTTTGTTTTTTGACTTACAAGCCTCAACGTCACCGCAGAATAAAGCATGTAGGCCAAAGAAAGCATAACCGATCACTCGTATAGAACAGTACTGTTTCTATAATTTGAAGCTTTCTGAATGGACGGGTTCAGGCCTGATGCAACTGTAAAAAGATTACTTAATGAATAGGCAATATGGAAATTGTACAAAATTTTATTAACTTTAATCATTAATAGCATAAACAGCACTGCATTACTATTGGCTATTCAAAATCAAAACTTCTTTTTAAATCCCCAAGAGGAAGGCATTTACATACAACCATGCCAACGTGTATTTATGGGTTGTGTCAATAACATATTTCAACAGAAACTTTGGCTTTAGGAAAGTCACAAACATTTAAAATAATGGCTTTAATTGTCAAAAGTATACGGCAGGGGAAGTGTGCTTTAATTAAATATACATCATACCAGTGATGCTGGCAAGGTTGAAAGTTATTCCTAATGTTGAGCAATAAAACTAGTTTGTACATGACAAGACAATGAAAAGAAAAAGCGATCCCTTTGAAACAAATCATTTAAAGTGTAAAAAAAACACAGGAAAAACACATTCACAGTGGTTTGTATAAACAATATGCATTTTATGACAGTAACATATGTCTAGTCTCAGAGAACACTAGTGCCCTCCTTAGATCCTAAAATAAACAAAAACCCAAGCATTTACACTACACATATATTGTACTGAATCAAAAAAATAAAAAGTCAATCGTACAGTTACCTCGAATGACAGGACCAACTGCTATGGAGTGTGCAGCAGGGACACCAATGGAAGTTGCTTTTTAAAGGAACAGAGAATCGTTTTTCAAAAAAGAAACTTTCCTTGGGAGTAGAGAAAGTCTTTCATTTGCTGCTGAAACCAGCAAATGCCATTCATTGAATCAAAAATGGGAAAAAGAAACCACAAACACGGATCTATTTAGCAAGCTGACCAGTGCACGTTCCAGTTTAAAAAGGAAGGAAGGAAAGAAAAAAGGAAGGAAGGCTCTGTCCTATCACACAAGTCCCAACTAGGCAGTGTCAAATTGACTATTTCTTTGCTTGCTTTGTGATCATACCCCGTGGTGGCGTGACAGGTCTGCTGGCGTTGGGCTTCTTCTTCTCGGCAGGCTTCAGAATCTGAAAACGGTCACACAGGCATTTTAGGAGGTGGCTGCAATGGTGTTTATGACATGGACGCTAGAATGCCTGGGCAATTCTGACACTTAACCTAGCTCAGCGGCGCCCCTCCGCCCCGCCACAAGGTGTAGGAGACAGGCCCATGTGGAACACGTTTCAGTGATACAGACTCAAGCATCAAGGTGACACAGGTAATTATACATTGGTGGTCCTCAGCCTGTGGGCCAGGGACTCACATATGAATTAAGCAAATTTTGGGGGGTAAACAATCAAGAAATCTAGAAGTATTTTCTCAAATGTACATAAATACTATTGTGATTTAAAAATGTGTGAAATATGTTATTGCATTCATAGTTTTTCACTGTGTATTTTCTCAATCAGTGAATGCTGGTAGTAAAAGTAATCCCAATATTCAAAAAAGGTTGGGAAGTGCTGCTCATCTACAACACATCATTTGGTCTCTAGTTGAAACTGATGTTATATGCGCATTCTATTTGTATTTACAAAAAGTCACGCTAGGTAGCGCCACTTCTGATTTAATTGTTGCTCTACAATATTACCATTGTGCCTACCAAAAACTTCTTCCACAAACACAAAGAAGAAAATAACTTCAATTTAGACAATAGTAAATTTGACCCAAAACAGCAGAAATAAGCAAAATTTTTATAATACTCTACCTGAAAAGAACACATTAGGGTTTCATCCACACTCATCATGGCACCTGCATTGTCAAATTCACCACAATAATTTGGGGCAGAAAAGAGTGTTACCAACTGCCTCTTTGCAAAAAATTCATATCCATCTTCAACCACCTTGGAGAAAAAAATTTTGTAATTAGGCATAATTTCTAAACATGGTAAAACCAGTCCTCAATTTCCTTTTAAGTTTGTGGGCTGCTTAAGGAAACCTTTCATAAACAGTTAAAGGGCTAGCACACGCACTTGCATGTAAAATTCAAAATCTAATACCTGGTGGGCTCTACATATAAGATCCAAATCATGCTTATGGAGAAATTTGGCCACCACTTCGGCCCCAAATGTGAAGGACACGCCTCTGTCATTTTCACCCCAGCCTAAGACGTCTTTATCAGGGTCAGACCATAAGAGATCACAAAGAAGACCTTGGTCAGGTACATCAGTCGGTCGCATGATTCGTCGAATCTGCTCCATGGACTGAAGATCTGGTGATAAACCTATAGGACAAAAGGAAAACATGTTTGGGGGAAAAAAACAAACCAAAAATTAGGGTAGAGGAACTTAATTTAAATAATCAAGTGTCCTATCATGGAGGGCCTGGAACTGGTTAAAGTTTGCCAGTGAGGGCCTTAAAATTTTAGGTTTTTATTTTAAATCAAGATTTACCTTAAACACACACACACACACACACACACACACACACACACACACACACACACACACACTTTCAAGTAGAAACCACAATGTTAACATTTGGAAGGTATTTAGTGCTCTTAAAATTTGGAGGAACCTACTTTAAAAGATTATCTCATTCTCTCAAATTAAAAATAGAATCTATTTTTGGTATTTTCCTGCTTGAGATTTTTTCTTAAAAGGCCATGTAAATTCTAGATTTTACCACCAGTGCTATTTAAATGGCTATAGATATAGGTGATTTTAAGTGACTAGAGACGTGTCTTCTAAAACCCCAGATTGTCCAATGGCAGCCAGCTTCCCAGACTCAACGTCTTCCCTTCTACACACCCAATTCAGTTTTAGTTTCTTCTCATACTTCCAACAGCTCCACTTGGAACAAAACACAAGCTGTGTGACTCTGGTCAAGTCACTTAACCTTTGTGGGCCTGAGTTTCCTCATCTGTAAAATGAAGAGGCTAGACTCAGAAACATAAACTGTTCCTGCTAGCTCCAAACCTATCATCCCACTTCATTAAAACTTGCTACATTATTAAAATATTAAAAAACCACAGAATCCAGAACATATATGCCCTTGAAACCCAAACATAGCTCTAGAAGGTAAAGAACATGTCTGTTTCAAAGCATATCACCATCAGTTTCCATTATAAATATATAGGTCCCCTTAAACCCACAACTCCCTGGATGTTTAATACTTGACTTACATAGCCTTTAAAAGAAGGTGAAGTATGTGTGTATGTCACGTTAAGTCTCCTCAGCTTGTCAGTCAACAATTAATAAATTTATTAAATGTTTACTCTGTGCCAGCCACCAAGTGCTGGGAATATAAAGAGAGGCAAAAACAGTACCTGTCCTCAGAAAGCTTACCTTCTAAAAGGAGAGCCAATATGTAAATAAACAGCTACGTGCAAAATACAGATGGAACTGATGGAAGTTAAATTGAGAAGGGAAGGCTCTAACACGTGGGAGGACCAGGAAAGGCCTCCTGCTGAAGGTGGCATTTGAAGCCAAAGAGGAGAAGAAAGAGCATTCTAGGCAAGACAGACAGCCAATAAAAAGCTATGGAAACCAAAACCCACTCCTTAACTGATAGATGGTCAAAGGATATGAACAAGCACTTCTCAAAGGAAGAACTGCAAACAATGAACCACATAAAAGGCAGCTCCAAATCACTAATAAGAGAAATGCAAGTCAAAGCAACCCTGAGGTTTCATCTCACACCAGAAAATTAGCAAAGATGAGAACAGTCAGTGTTGGAAGAGTTGTGGGAAGTGCACTGTTGGTGGAGCTGTGACTCAGTATGACCATTCTGGAAAGCAATGTAGAATTGTGCAAATAAAGCAACTCAACTGTCCTTACCCTTTGACCTAGAGATTCCATTACTGGGTTTATACCCCTAGGAAGGTACTGAAAAGAACAAAATCCCCATATACACTGAAATATTTATAGCAGCACTTTTTGTGATAACAAAAACTGGAAAGAAAAGTGGAGAAAAGAGGAGGCACCACACACTAATTTTTTTCCTCTTTCCCCCCTTAAAAATTTTGTGTTCTTTTCACGCACGTAGAGTATATTAAAAATCTTGCTCATTTCTGCTATTTTGGATTAAATTTACTATTGTTTAAATAAAGCCTTCTTAAACTTTTCCCACTCAGACCCCTTTTTCAAGGGCGTTCCTTGCTGATGCGTGGCCTGAGGGCATGTGCAATACAAAGCGTGTGGGTGCTTTGTGTTCAGAACCAAGGCTGCAGCCAACTTGCTATGCAGCACAGGCAAGCATTGCCAGAAACATCTTGGTTTCATTTTGTGTTTGATTTTGAATTAATTTCTGGTCCTTGTGTTCAGAAACCTTTTACTGTTGCCAAATTTTTTGTGACCCCACATGGGGTCTTGACCCACAGTTTAAGAAGCAATGGTTTAAATCAATGTTATTTTCTGCTTTGTGTTTGTGGAATAAAATTCTGGTAGGCACAATGGTAGTATTGTAGAACAACGATTAAATCAGAAAGAAGGGGAGACACCTGGAGTGAAGTTTTGTAAATTACAAAGAGAATGGACACATAAAACATCAGTTTCAACTACAGACAAAATGATGTCTTGTAAACGAGCAGCTCCCCACCTTTTTGAATATTGGGATCACTTTTAAATAGTAGTTTTACTATCAGCACTCACTGTGTGTAAAGAAGTAAAATAGACTGGAAAGAAAGGAGAGGGGCAAGTTGTGGAGGGCTTTATAAACACTGGGAGTGGGACAGAGAGCAACTGGAGCTCGCCGACTCAGGAAGTGACACGGTCAAAGCGGGACGTTAGGAAGATCGACCTGACAGAAGAATGCAGGGTGGGCAGGAGAGAGGCCGGAGACTTGAAGACCAAGCACAGCCACTGTAATAGCCTGGGTGCATGGAACAGTTTAGCACTCCACAAGGGCGGTGGACTGCAGCGAGGCAGAAATGCTACCACCACCACTGCTACCTAACATTTACAGGCGCTTCCGGTGTGCTAAGCACTTGACGAATGTTGTCTCCTTTGATCCCCATGACAACTCTGGGATGTAGGGGCTGTGATTACCTCCTTTTTACAAATGAGGAAACTGAGGCAAAAAGGGGTTAAGTGACTTGTCCAGGGTCATACAACTTGTAAGTGCCTGAGGCCAGATTTGAGCTCAGGGCTTCCAGACTCTGAACCTGGTGCTCTATGCACTGTGCACCCAGCTGACAAGATCTGGCAATGGAACTGGCACCAAGACTGGACCTGGGTAGCTGAGAATGACGGTGACCTCAACAGAAACTGGGAAGTTGCAAAGAGGGGAGGGTGGGCTAGAGAAGAGAAGCCGTTCTGTACATGCTGCACCTGGGCCATCTCCTGGACAGTCACCTTGAGATGTCCACGGGGTAGGTGGGGACGCGGCTCACTGAGGAGGACAGTACATACACAAGAGGAGCTCTGGGCCTTTCCTGCGTCACGGACTGACCTTTGGCAGCCTAGTGAAACCCATGGACTCGCTCTCAGAACGTTATTTAACGCATAAAACAAACTACATAGGATTATAAAGGAAATCAATTACACTGGAATGTAGTTATAAAACAAACAAAAACCTCAAGCCTGTGGACCCCAGGTTAGGGATTCCTGGCATCAAGAGAAGAGTCCCGGACACAGCCCTGGAGAATATCCAGTCAGTGAGTATGACATGGATGAAGACCCAACAAATGAGACTGAGGAAGAGCAGTTAGAGAAGGAGGAGGAAATCCAGAAGGAGACACATGCCGAAAGCCCGGAGAGGAGATCAAGAAGAACGGTTAGGGATGGGATCTGGATCTGTGACTGATTTCATGGAAAGGACATGAAATTCCCTCTAACAATACAGACCAGCACTTTATCTGCAACTTATCCTCTTGGAGACTTACCTCAAACCCCGAGAGCTTAAGTGGCTTGTGCCCAGGGTCAGAAAGGGAGGCAGGGGGTGAAGCTGAGCCGATGCCCACATGCCTTTTAGGCCAGCTCTATCCACCACAACATGCTGTCTCTTCCCAAAAAGGATAAGGACTGAGAAAAAGCTTTTAGATTTGGCCATTAAAAGAGCACTGGTAACTTTGGAGAAAAGTTTCCATTCAGTTTTAAAGCTGGAAATCAGACTGCAGAAGGTTTGAAAGAGTGAGGAGAGGAAATGGGGGGTACCATGGCTTTTTCGGGAGTTTAGCTTTTGGGGAGGGGAGAGGAGTGGAGATGGCAGGATTAAGTGAAAACTTAAGGAAGAGAGAGACATGTGCATGTTTGTAGGTAGGAGGGAAGAATTCAGTAGACTGGGGAAGATTAAATATTAGAAAAGTGCTGAAGGAGGGGATGGTATCAAGGGTGCATGGAGAGGCTAGTCTGGACAAGGAGAAAGGCCACCTCTTCAGGAGTGAAGGAAGAGTTAATGGGGCATGTTGCCAGAGGGATGCGAAATGTGTAAAATGTGAAGGGGAGAAGAGGGAGGGTCTCTGAATGGCTAAAAAAAATTTTTTTGTGGGGGAGGGAGGAAATTATGAGTGAGGGTCTCAGCTATGTGATGTGGGAGGCTTGAGGAGACAGGTTTAGAACAATGCATATGGAGAACTGGTTAGGGAGCAGCAAGACTTCCTTGATCGGGTGAAGGCCACTGTGATATGTAACAAATTTGTAGTAGACACATTCATCATGGTTCTGTGATTTCCTCCAGGCTCAGTTCCATAGCACATGAATAGGAGAGGAGGAGTAAGACGGTAGAGGTACCATGATTCTACTGTAAAGTGCTTTGGAAATTTAAATTTATTCCAATCCAACTGATATAATAGAGAATGAGGACAAAGAACAGGGTTAGAGCTCATAAGGCAAAGGGAATAATTCAATGACATCTTTAAATGAGGTTAAAAAAGCCAGAAAAAAAGAAAAGAGAGAGAGAGAGAGAGAGAGAGAGAGAGAGAGAGGAGAGAGAGAGAGAGAGAGAGAGAGAGAGAGAGAACTAGAACCAAAAGATTAGAAATCCACATAACCAAAAACACCCTCCCACAAAACAGGCCGTTTACCCTGAATTTTTCCTTTGACAAATAATTCCAACTTGATACACAAGGGTGAATCAGGGAAGACAGGTGATTTAAAATCAACAATGAGAATTGGATTTTGGAAGTCAGGCCCAATATTATGAGACCCACAAACATGAATACAAAATCAATTCTGTTCCCTCCAAAGAGCTACTTAGAAATCAAATTCTAATCACATACCTCCATGACAGCAGAATATTTTCTCATCCACAATGGCTGCAATTGGTAAGCAATTAAAGCAGTCTGTAAAGGTTTTCCATAGTTTAATATTGTATCTTCTTTTACCTATAAAGATTTTAGAATGACTTAATCTGCAGATTCACTTGTTCAACATAATTTTCAACATACTAAGATCCTAAACATCTTATTAACGATAATTTAAAAACACCTCAAGTACTAACCACTAGGGAGTTTGGAAGGGACTTAGGAGAACTAGACCATTTATTTGGAGGTATCTGATCAACAACATCAAATGTAATTCTTATTAGATGGACCAGCGCATTTTGAATTTCATGGTGAAATCAGGTTTTGACACGAGAATATAACACAAATTCCACTTGAAATTCCTGTTTTATACACCCCACAGGGCATCCTCCGCTTGTGAACCCAAATGCCAGTCCATGTCATGGCTACTGCATTACTCCTGTGAAGAACAGCAAGGAGGCCAGTGCTGGTGGATAGGAGAGCAGAGGGAATAAGAAGACGGAGAAGGTAAGAATAGGGGCTAGGCTGAACATCCCTAGTATAGAACTACATTTCAGACTTTGCCTGTTCCTGGCGTAGACCTGCTGCTGCTGAATATTCCAAAGCTCCGTATGCAGTGAGGTATGATGTCTGCTGCGCCTCACAACCTGGAAAGGTTCGATGGTAAACTATATGTAGATCGAGTACCAACGCAGCCAAGGTTAGAGGAGCTCTTCACCAGAAGCCGGCCACCAGGGAAGGCTTTTTCTTTGGGGATCATTGGACTTTTAAAGACAGGATTAGTGACGGAGAGGTCTACCGCAATTAAAGAATGTTTTTCAAGCATCAGTGCGTATGTACAAAGTATATGAAATACACTGTTGCTGGAATTCAGAGGCAATGAGAAACTAAGTTCTCTTTAAGAGTTTTCTAGGGAAATGTGTCTCAGAAGCTAACCCAACCTGCAAACATTTAAAATGTGATCTCATTGCAAATCGTAAGAGAGTCTGCAGACCAATCATCACCCCCAATTCCTCCAAATAATAATTCCCCTGGCAAACTGGCATATGTCTTCATGGTTCTCTTCTTGGCAAACCCAATGGTCTTTTCTAAGTATGCAGTCTGCATCTGACACCGTGAACCATTCCCTCCTTCTTGAATGAAACTGTCTCTTAGACGTCGACACTGTAAGCTTCTACAGTGATTTCTCTCTGCCCTGATGGCTTCCACTAGTTGTTTTAAAGATGATCTAAGTTCTGACCTAACACCAGATATCTATGACTTTATTCTAAGCTCTGGGACTAACTACTTAAACTGGCTTCTATTCTGGTACAAAGTATACACTACCAATTACTGCAGAGTATGTGCTGTATAGCTCCTGGAGTCAGAAAGGGGAAAATTAAATCTTTATGCGATGACAGGCTCATACTCCATTAAACCACTAATTTGATGACTTCATAAAGGTGTACCATTTCATACTAAGAACATAAAGCTCAAAATACTTAAATCATGGTATCTGACGCAGTATGCTTGTATTTATCTTTCTAGAGACAAGTTCATTATGAAAAACATCTCGTTGTAAGGATGTTTCCAAACCCACAACTGTATCATAGCACATCAGAAGTCCATGAATGATAAGGCAGATTCAAGTAAGAGGATCATGCTGACTCTTTATAATATCAAAATGTTGATATTTATTTTCTGAAGCCAAATGCATCACTGGTAAAAAGAAATATTCCATAAATATATGCTCTGTGCAAAAACCATAATCTTACTCATGAGTAATGATTACATTGTTCTATCTATACTCTTTCCACCTACTCCTATCTCTTAAAAGCATCCAACAAGCATTTATTAAGCACTTACTGTAGATACGGGACTGTGCTAGGGATTGGGGTAATAGAAAAGAAATGAAATTATCTCTGATTTCAAGGAGCTCTGGGTCTACCAAGGGAAAATACGAACACAGGTAAATATAAAATATATGCAGAGTAATTGGGGGACAGGTAGGAGGACTAAAATATAAGGAATCAGGGATTTTTTGGGGGGGAGTGGGGGTAGGGAGGGAGAGCACTACAGGCATGGAGATAAGGAGGATCGTGAGGGAGAGTGATGTACAAATCAGTCTGGAAAAGGCAGCTCAGGGAGCCAGGGCCAACATCAGAGGCAAGGTCAGAGCAAACAAATTAGCTAGGGCTTTCTGTGAACTCATGCTTGGACTTCAACCTCATCAACACCCTAACTTCCTTAAATTTAAGAAAAAGGCAAATGAATAATTACAGAGAGATGCTGTAAAAAAGAATAACTCTCTCTCGATGAATATGCCACAGAAAATGCTTTATGTAAAATGACAGAACAAGAACAATCAATGTACACAAATGGAAAATTACGAAGATCATAATTTCAAAGATAAACATAGTGGTCCTGGTTGAGTGTCAACAGCTAATCAAGGCACGACACCAGTAATCATCAGTTTTAAAATAACTTTTAAGAAGATAGAACACTTGGATTTTAAGCACACAGTGTCTGATTTTGTTACAGATGTCATGGATCCCGAGAGCCTGAATGATTACTATCTCCTAAAGGGTTGGTGAATGGAAGAACTATAATCACAGAGTATGGAAAAAACCAAATCATTGACCTTCCATAGCAAACTGTGTAAACAGTTAAAACTGAGGCTTCATTGTTATCAACAAAACAAATCTGCTTTGGAAAATGGATGTTTCTGAGGCAGAAACGTAAAACAGTTCTTATAGCGTGCTGTCACTTTTTGGTTACCCTGTAACTCTTCCTAATGCCACCTTAAGCCAGCCCCGGTAAAATTCAAACCATGTTTTATATGCAGAAAGAATCAAAAGGAAAAGAGGAAGAATGAGCATCCTTCTGCTCCCTTCAATTCAAAGTCCTTCTTTCTACTTACAGATAAAGCTGAGGTTCATCTCTAAGGCATGAGGGACAGAGGGAGGGAAGGGGATAAGTATTTATTAAGTCCCTACAATGTGTCAGACACTGTGCCGAACACTTTAGCGACATAATTTCATAAGAGAATTTCAATCAATGTGTACATTTTAACAAAAATCCATTATAACAAACCACTCTGGATATTGCATGGAATTCCTGGCAATATGAAATTTTTGCTTCTCACTGCACGATTCTGAAGTTAGCAAATTCACTTTTCACTGGCACATATATACTAGGAAAACCAACACACATTAATAAGTGCTTTTAAGAACTCATTTAAAAAAGGTCTCGGAATTATGTTGGAGTGTGTACAGCAATACACAGGGTAGCCCCAAAATTCCAGTCTTCTGAGAGAAGTACCTGAGCTGTCAAAGACAGTGTTACTCCCTGGTGATGATGGACACTGCCTCTTAGGACAAAGAACTTTTAAAAGACATAAATAACTCCTCACGTAGACAAGTTACTTACATTCATCATAAAATCCATAAATTCTATTGATGCTGGCACATTCATGGTTCCCTCTAAGAAGAAAAAAATTCTCTGGGTATTTGATTTTGTAGGCCAGTAGAAGGCAGATAGTTTCTAAGGACTGCTTCCCTCTGTCCACGTAGTCTCCGAGAAACAAGTAGTTGCTTTCTGGTGGGAAACCACCATACTCAAAAAGCCGAAGCAAATCGTAATATTGTCCATGAATATCACCTAAAAAATAAGAATTGTGTTATATGGCACTTTAATGCTCTGAAGTCACTTCGTTTTTGCTAGTCAAACCTTTGGAAACATATCTTTTGCAGATTCTTCCATGCCGTATGGCATTAAATATCCTCTAATTTTATGTCTGACCTAAAATTCCGTAATCCTTAGCAAATTGACCCTGTGTTACATACCGTATAGCTTAGTACTTACTTCATTCAATTCATGCAACTTAGTATACTTATTATTTAAATCTTTTCACCAAAGGAAGAAAATCACACCTGACCAAGGGACTAAATGTCTCGTTAAGAGATACTCCTGAATCTTCTTGTCAAATAATAGCTTTTCTTTCAGGTCTGCTGAGCACTAATAGCCAATAGATTTTAAAGTGCTATTTAGGGAGGCCTTTACTTCTAGTCCTCAGGCTTAAATACCCCATTTGCATGTAGGAATTACTATAAAATAATAACTCAGATTTATAACTCAGTTTCCTCATTTATAAAAACATGAGAACTGGGAGTAGGGAATGATCTCTTTAAGGCCTGTTTTCCAGTTTTAAATTGTCTGACCCAGTGACATGGGTAGTATAAGTAGTATTTTAGCCCTGTTTTGTACATAAGGAAACTGAAATGAAGAGAGAGATAAACCTCACCCCCCCAACTCCAAACCATTACATTTCTTCATACTTTTTTCCGTCTCTTTTCCTCTTGACAACCCTCTTCTACTTGGTCATCAAAATCACTAAGGAAACTATCTAGCATACTTCTCACCCTCCCACATCTCAGGGGTGGGAGAGGAGGGGAAGAGGAAACCTATAGAGAGACTTCATTCATGTAGGGAAGTTCCAGTGATGAAATCCCCTCTAATCAATACAGACTGGTTGGGAGAGTGTGGAGAGGGTAAGTGACTAGCTCCACATCCCATGCTCCTGTCTGTCAGAGGTAGGACTTGACCCCAGGGTTTCCGACACAACCAGGACTTCTCAATATCTAAATAACAGAGGATCATGATGTAGAGATAGAAGGGACACATAAACTAAGTCAGCTGTTACAGGAGTAAGGCTTCAAGAATTGAACTATTTCTCAAATCCTTATGCCTAATGAATGAGTAGGACACAGCATGATAAAGAGATAGGGAGCTGGCCCAGCACTCTGGGAAGACCTAGAGTCCAGACCTGGCTGTGTGACCCTGGACAGGCATGGCTTCTTTGTGCCCCATACAACTCCCTAAGCTCAGAGCAGGTGCCCACATGGACGGGACATCAAGGTTGTTGACTGGCAATTTTCCAAGCCAATGAAACTAGAACCTGTCCCCCCCCTGCGTTAAAGAAAGGGGTAATGGGTGGAGGCAGAATGAGACACCTAGTAACTGCCTTATAAACACATCCACGATTCAATTCAATCACTTACCCCCCCCACACACACACATTCAACTAGTAATGTATCAGAACTTACCACATATTTTAAGTGGTGCTTCAAGTTCTAATAGGATAGGCTGACTGAGAAAAATTTCCCGTGATTTCAAGCACAGTCCTCTGATTTCATTTTCTTGTAGTTGGACATTTTTACCAGGCTTCGACCCTCTCACTAAGGAAAGACAAAATATAATCAGGTGAAATGCCTTTTCAAACATCTATTTGTTATTTATTTTTAACATTCTTTAAAAAAATTTTTTTGAGTTTCAAATTCTTTCCCTCCCTCTCACCCCTCCTCCACCCACTGAGAAGGCAAGCAACATTTCAATATACATGTGAAATAAGCAAAACATATGAAATGTTTACATAATAGTTTCCTCAGATATTTTTAGCGTTTCACAGCAAAAATTTTAAGAACAACATTGTAGTTTTCTTATTTTTATTAGAACATTCTAGTACAGTATTTAAAAGAACCTGTAATTTTAATACTTATTTCTAATCTAACAGTTGACATTTACATGGAAAGACAGACATCACAGAAATCCATACTGAGTTTGAAGGATTCTTTAAACTAATTTGTTGAAATTTAAGATTACAGTGTTCAGACTTTATAGAGTATAACAAAATCACAGCGTGTGACCAACACCTAACTGAAAGGAATCCCTGTGGTAGCAGGCCACCAGCTGTTCAGCACCCTCTGCCTCAACACTTCCCAAGCGGGGGAGAAGCCTGCTCCATTCTGGGACAATTCTAATTGTTAGCAAGTTTTTCTTCCTATCAAGTCTAAAGCTTCCTTTTTGCAGTATTTACAGTCCCCTGCAGCCCACTGGAGCTAGACGGAAATAGTGTTACCACCAGAGCCCCACCAGCCTTTTCCTTTTTTGATGTCTGTAAAGGCAATAAGAACTATATTTTCCACACAGAATCCAAATACAGTTCTTATCAAGTAGGATCTCTTCATTTTTTGTACTTGTATCCCCAGCACCACGCAAAACGTCTGGCACATAGTAAGCACTATAGGGGCAGTGGACAGAGTGCTGGGCCTTGAGTCAGGAAGACCCGAGTTCAAATCTAGCCACAGACACTTACTAGCTGTGTGATCCTGGGTAAGTCAAGTCTCCTTTGCTTGCCTCAGTCTTCTCATCTGCAAAATGAGGATAATAACAGCATCTACCTCCCAAGATTGTTGTAAAGATAATGTGAGATAATAATTGTAAAGCACTTAGCACACAGTAAGTGCTATATAAATGCTAGCTACTATTATTAGTTATCATTATTAATAAATGCTTAGTGATTTTTTTTTCCTTTCTAAAGAGATATCATTTTAGCAATGTGGTCCATATTCAGACCAATGAATTACGGATTTTGCAGTCACAATTTTACCTCAATTTACCATAGGGTTTTTACCCAATAGTAATTCTTGGGCTAAATTCTTTATTACTGACATTCCAAAACCTACTACTTTTTGTCCTCTATCTCCTTCAAACTTAAACAAGCACTTTTTTCTGGAATTCAATTTACTGAACAAATCCCTCTTCATCTTTCATGATTTTATAGACCTCAATCTTTTCTTCTATCACTAGTATAAAAAAGTCTTAGTTTTAAAAAAATGTCCTCATATAGCAGCCCTTCCATCCTTTTGATCACTGAGTTGACCTGCTCTGGACCTATTCCAGCTCCATTAGAAATGGGTAACCACAGGAAACAGTCATATCAAGATGCATTCTATCACTAGCCAGTCCTCAGGGGATCTATGAAGGTTCAGGCAAAGAGATGAAATAAAATCTCAAGGCTAGTCATTTTCACAATGAAAGGCAAAAGGAAATGAATATTGCTAAAGTAGGACACTGAAATGTCCTACTTGACCATATACTATAGATCTGCTTAAATTAAATTTTATTAGTAAGTATTTAAAAACAAAAACCCTTGTATAGTCAAGCAAAACAATCTCTTATATATCTTAGCTATGTTCAAATATTTTTACATTCATTCACTCATCTGCAGCCCCAAACCCTAACAACATTTCTTGGGTGAATATCTGAAATTTTAAAAGATCTCGCTTCCTTTTGCTATTGCTACTGAATATTTTTGTACTATTTCCAAATTTATTTTTTTCCCAATTCCCAAGATTCCCGGTTCACCTCTCCTCTTTGTCCATTTCCAGCAAACATACCAATAAACAAATTTGAAAATGCCACTTTACTATACCTACAATGCCCACCTACAATTATCCTCTTTTTACAGTCTACTTCCAATAAGTAATTTACTTTAGTGAACTGAGATTTTACAGATGTTAGTTTAAAAAAAAAAAACCATAGTGCTTCGCATACATTGCAGGCATTTGATACTTGTTGAACTGAAACGTTAGATAATTTCAGACACTACTTCCTTCGGAAGAGAAACTTTGTCACAGACCTACAGCTCTATTTGAGGGGTTCAAGGCCTGGCCTAGATGACTACACACATTTTCTATCTCCATTTCCCCATATTTTTCAAAATTCTATAATCGTGCAGTGATTAGATGATAAAAGCTACAGAAACTATTTCTACACTCAGTAAGTAAAATTACTAGTTTTGCTTCCTATCAGGTACCTTCAATGATTTCATTATAATTTAAATGTCACAATTATTTAACATAATTACCAATGACCTAAACAAACAAAATGTAACATATGTTCTTTAAGTCTGCAAGTAATACTGAATTAGCAACTGTTCAAATTGAAATGACCCAAATAAATTAGAAAAGATCTACAACAGCAGTGTATTTATTGGACGACAGAAAAAGTGAAGAGTATACCATTGAGATCTAAGACAAAACCATACACTTTCACCCAATATACATAACAATAGGCCAACAGTGCCTAAGTAAAAACCTACAAAAACAGGTCATCAGGGCCATCATTAGGAAAAAGTGTGTTACTTCATACTGGTAAGGGAGTCTTGCTCCCTCTCTCTCCAGGAGAAGGAATTCCAGCCACCTGGGGTAAAGGACAGGGAAGCTCTACAAACACCTTAAGGTTGGCACTTCTGCTGGTAGCCCAGTATTCTCTCCTAATATGTCCTGATCAGAACTGGGACACTCTATTAAAAGGGACCCCCCCCCCACCCATGATAAACAAAGGTAACAGTAGAAAGAGGGCAGACTACAACAGTGGAAGAGCACACTTGAATACAGAGAAGGGTATTATGAACACTGGACAGGAGTCAGGAGACCCAGCATCTGATTATGGTCAGAGCTCTGCCTAGAGATAAGCTAGCTATGTGAGCCTGGGAAAATTATTTTACTTCTCTGGGTCAGGGGCTCCCTCATTCTATAAAACAGAGTTCTCACAGGGCAGTGGAAAGGAACCTTAATTTGGAGTAACAGGAGCTGAGTTCAAGTCTCAGTTCAGCCACTTAATAGTGTGGGAACCCTGGGGAAGTAATTTTATTTCATTTCTCTGGGTGCCTCAGTTTGTCCATCTATAAAATGAAGGAGGTCAAAGTCCCCCTGCAGCTCTAGATCTACGAGTGTTTCCCCCCTCCAAATCTAAAATCCTACAATTCTATTAAAGATCCTAAACTTCTATTAAAGGGGTGGTGGTGGTGGTGGTGGTGGTGGTGGTGGTGGAATATTTTTTAAAAAATCTTTAACGATGAATATTAAGTTTATGGAATTCAGTGCCCACTAAATACCAAAACTACATTATGACACTCAATTAGAGATGTGATATGATTAAGATGAAATGGTTTTTCAAAAAAAAAGCAGTGGTGCGTTCTTTCCTTCAGAAGCACTCACTATGGAAAGATTCTTGCTTTTCTAACCAGAAAAAAGAAAAAAACACACCTAATAGTGAAGATACTGCCATCTGGCAGGAAGGTTATGAACCTAAGAAGCTAAGGCAGTCTTCCCAGCAGAAAAGAGGTTTCTTTGCAGCATATAGGGAGTTGGTGACATTGTCGATTTATATACTGTTTCGGCACAAATACAAACTTTATTGCTCTGTAATAGTTTCTTTCTTTTCAAAAAAAATTTATTATTTTTTTTTTAGTTTTCAACATTCACTTCCATAAGCTTGAGTTTTAAATTTTCTCCCTCTCCCTCCCCAAGACAGTGCACAATCCGATATAGGCTCTACATATACATTCCTATTAAACATTATTTCCACATCAGTCACGTTGTAAAGAAGAATTGGAACCAATAGGAGGAACCACAAGAAAAAAGAACAAAACAAAACAGAAAAAAAAGCAATTAGTATGCGTCGATCTCCATAGTTCTTCTATAATTTAATTTCTATTTTTCCCAATTATATGTAAAAACACTTTTAGTATTTCTTTTAAAGTTTTGAGTTCAAATTCTCTCCCTCCCTCTCCCTGAGAAGGCAAGCAATTTGACATAGGTTATATCTGTGTAGTTATGCAAAACACATTTTCATGTAAGTCATGCTGTGAAATAAAACACATACAAAAAAACCCTCCGCAAAAGTAAAGAAAGTAAAGAAAAAGTATCTTCAATCTGTATTCAGACTTATCTAGTTCCTTCACTGGAGATTGGAGGGTACCTTTCATAAGTCCTTCAGAATTGTCTTGAATCACTGCATTGCTGAGAATAAGTTATTCACAACAGACCATCACACAATGTTGTTGTTACTGTGTATAACGTTCTCCTAGTTCTGCTCATTTTACTTGGCATCAGTTCATGTAAGTCTTTTCATGTCAAACTCCATAGTTCTTTCTCTGGATGTGGACAGTATTTCCATCATGAGACTTTTGAAGATGTCTTAGATCCTTGCATTGCTGGGAAGAGCTAAGTCTATCAAAGTTAGTCATTGCACAATGTGGCTATTACTGTGTACAATGTTCTCCTGGTTCTGCTCATTTCACTCAACATCAGTCCATAAAAGTGTTTCCAGCTCTGTTTCTTTTAAGATTGATTTGGGGGATATTTATGTGATGACTTATTTGTACCCAGAGACTTCACTTTATTAAAAGTAAAATATGGGGCAGGTAGGTGGCGCAGTGGATAGAGCACCGGCCCTGAAATCAGGAGGACCCAAGTTCAAATCCAGCCTCAGACCAAACACTTGACACTTACTAGCTGTGTGACCCTGGGCAGGTCACTTAACCCCAATTGCCTTAAAAAAAAAAGTAAAATATAATCCCACCCCCAGATAGTATTTCTTGCCTTCTTAT